ATCTATCTATCTATCTATCTCATCTATCTATCATCTATCTATCTATCTATCTATATCATCTATCTATCTATCATCTATCTATCTATCTATCATCCATCTATCTATCTATTATCTATCTATCTATCTATCTATCTATCTATCTATCTATCATCTATCTATCTATCTATCTATCTATCTATCTATCTATCTATCATCATCTATCATCTATCATCTATCATCATCTATCTATATTTATCTATTATCTATCTGCCTGCCTGTCTGTCTATCCAGGAATGTTTTGTTATCATTTTCTAGTCTCAATGGTCAGTCCAAGTCTCTATTAAAAATTAAAGAAAACATTTATGCTATCAAAATAAAAATCTATGTCTTCTTTTAATATAGAAAATTCTTAGCAGTCAGCTCTTCTGCAATATTCTCCCATCAGAGCAAGTTCGATTCCTCCCACCCCCAAATTTATGTATCATAATCCTGGAGCATTTTTAATATAAATTGGGAGAGGGGAGCATTGACCAAGTGGTGAATGTATATTTAAATTCCTTGTTACAAGGAGTTTTATTTAATCTCAGAAATTTTTTCCCCTACCTTATACCTACATACAGCCAATATGAAGAATTTTCCAGATTCCTCTTTCAATGACAAAGCAAAAAATTAGGGACCCTGACACTGTGCAGGGATTTTTATGAACTCTATTACTTAACATCACATCTTCTGTTTCAGCATGGAAGTTGACACTCAAACCTCTATTTCCATGCTACGCCCAGTTCTTAAATTCTGTAGAAATCCAGGGCTTCAGCCTTTCTTATAGCCTCAGAGTTTACTTTAATTTCTCTTCATTTATGCCTCCCAATATTTTCCTTCTTCATCTGAGCTTGGTTGTATATTTAACTTATGGATTGTATATCCAGAATGTCTATGTGATTTTAGCAGGAGGAGGGCTTATTCTATAACATCTCAATATATCATGCTTCCAGAAATCATCTGAGTAAGTCTGAACACCCACCTTTTTTGGGTGAGGCTGACCAAAGTATTTTGTCTAAAGCTGGGGGGGTCACATCAAAGTAAGAAGCCTTCCTATGTATCTCTTGTGTTAGAAATTGATGAGGTCGAATCATAAATCCATTACTTTATTTGAGATAGTACTAAGCATCAGACAAAAGACAAAAAGTTATTCTTGGCTATTTAGTAGCAACATTTAACAACTAGCATGAACAATTTTAGTAAGTTGTATTTCTCACAAGAAAATTTTATGCATTATATGTTCTGTTTATATATTATCTTTAGGACATGGTGTCAGTACTTGGGAAAGCTTACAGAGTCAGAACTTTCTGTGTAGTCCAATCAATATAGACTATAGGGGTAAGTTCAGCATCTTTACCTCTGAAAGGTATACTATGTCAATTTTTAATAGGAGCATTTTGAATAAGAACTACTATGAGCTCAATCTATTTAGGATTATTTAATTTCATAGTTATTCCTAAACAACCAGTGAAATTTGGACATATATTTGTCAAGCAAGTTTAGCCAGGACTATTAATCAGATAATTAGGGAACTTTATATTAACTTTAGATGTGCTATTTTAAAAAATAAATTTAATTGACCTAAATTCTGAAGTTGTTTGGTTTGCAGAACAGTTAGTATTCACTATTTGTTCACCTCTTTACCAAACCCATGACTATCTGGCAGGCTTTGTCATTCCTCATTTTCAAGACTAGTTAAAAATTGACAAGAACTGAAATACATTACCCACATACCAAAGAAGTGCCTCTTAACATTATTTGCATATGTAATATGCGCTAAGTTTACCTACAGATATAAATACATTCATATCTACATATGTACCAAACCAATTTATTTTAAAATGTGAATTGCATTCTATATTTTTGTTTTGTAGTGTATTACTTTGTTCTCAGTATAATTGTTTTGGATGGTGCTATGAAGGATGGCTATGTTACATTTAATTTAAAGAACCAGCTTGGAAAAACTGAAGAACCAAGGCTCTATAAGTAAGTATAATTCAGTATTATTTTTCTTCATAAATTAAATGCTTGTTTTCTTGAGCATCCACTTTGTAAGACAATCCAAATAGTGTGGATTTTCTATCCAGGGTGCTTTCAAAGGCCTGGAGATAGGAATATACCTGATTTCCACAGTGGCACACAGACTGCAGCCCTGGAACAGTTGTTTCAAACTTGTTCAGAAGGCAAAGGAACTGTGAGTCTTGGTTACCTTTATAAACATCATGTTCTCTGCAGAACACATGAAATATTGGAGTATTTTATTCAAATACTTGAATTAGTATATTTTTAAAATAAAGGAATATAAAATGGAACACTTACCCATGGTAAATCTGTCCATCTAAGCCTGGACAATGAATTGAGTATGTTTCTATTAATAATTCTTGTTAATAAATTTAGTCATGCTTTGGGATTTAAACTGTTTTAGATGCCAGGGAAGTAAGACTTCTAAATGATCTTTCATTTCTCTTTTGAAAGTTAAAAGAGGAATATTTGCTTGCTGTAAAAAGCATGTCCTATAATACATTAGAAAATGAGAGTCATCTACAATTACGTTACCCAGGGACATTCAGATCAGCCCTTGGTGTATAACCGTTCCCACCCCTTCTCCCTCTCCCCGCCTCCTTCTCCTCCTGAATCTCCTTGCTGGACATTCCCTGTGTACATGCATATTGCTTTTTTATTTATCAAAATTACAAACCTGTTGCAAATGTGTTCTGTATTCTGATTTTTATAGAAACGCAATTGTGTGATCACTTACCTATATATCATTAAAATCACATCCATTAAAATATACCAAATATATGCCAATAAAGGGTTTTAAACAGGGGATATTGATCATGGATAGTCAGGTTAGACTGATCCCCCAGATGAATGACTAATGGGGAGGTTAGAGTGGAACTAGATCAGAGGGTGACTATTATAATGATTGACATGAAAGATGATGGTGGCATAGACCCAGCAAGTGGAAGTGGGTTTATAGAATTTAGAATAGATCTGTTTTTATGATTAAGCATGTGAAAGTGAAGGAAATAAACCAACCTCTAGTGAATTCAAGTTTTAATCTTTATTTATTTATTTATTTATTTATTTATTTATTTATTATTATTTTTAATCTTCACCTTAGGATATTTTTTTCCATTGCTTTTCAGAGACAGTGGAAGGGGGAGAGAGAGAGAGAGAGAGAGGGAGAGGGAGAGAGAGAGAGAGAAATAGATGTGAGAGAAACTCATCGATTGGTTGCCTCCCCCACACACCCCCACTCAGGCTGGGGATCGAGCCTGCAACCGAGCCTGCAGCGTGTCCTTGGCCAGAATCGAACCCCAGACCCTTCAGTCCACAGACTGACGCTCTAAACCACTGAGCAAAACCAGCTAGGGCTCTTTATGACTATTTCAATTATGGTGCCACTCACTGAGCTAGGAGACCCATGGAGAGGAGCCAATTTAATCATTCAATAAAAATTCCTGAGGACTTATGTAGTCCAGGAATTGCACAAAAAATTGGGGATAAAATTTTGGACAAGTTATATTTTTGTCTTTATATAACTTTTCTAGTGGAGCAGATACACTTTATCGATATATAATACAAATAAAATGATGTCAGCCATTTTTCTATTTGAACAATTTTTAATGACTATCCACATGGAACTAGGCACTGTGCTAAGTGGTGAGGCTGCTGTGATGCGAAAAACAGACCTGGTCCTTTCCTCCTTAAGCTTATAGCCTAATGAAGGGTGTACATGTAATTAAATAATTATAAAAATATGTAAATAAAATCTGTCCATGAAAAATGTCTTGAGGCACATTACAGTGTGTAAGGAAACATAAAATTGGGGCCACTGAAAGGTTCTTTAAGGATGTTCTGTACTTCTTGGCTGAGGCCTGCATGGTGAGCTGGAGTCAGTCTGCTTTGCTGTTTTCCAGGCAGAGAAAGGGATCCTGAGCAGGAGGGAGCATAGGCCATTTCAGGGAGCGCATTATGTCTGTAAATAGGGGCAGGGGGAGAGCTAGAGAACACCTAGATTTTGTGGGAACTAGGTTTGTAGGACATGCTTCTGGATTTGTATTTTATTCACTGGGAAAATGAAGACCGCCAACCTGTTTTAACTGAGGCAATCAGGTTGGGCGGGATTGGATTTTCATTTTGGAAAAACAATTGACCACAGTGGAGTGGAAGCAAGAAAGACAAGGTGCTGTTGCAAGAATATGGGCAAGAGGCAGCCCTGAGATAGTGTTTGCAGGGGAGGCGGAGAAATGAGAATGAATTCAAAGCAGACTCAGGATATTTCACAGGTACAGTGAGGGGGAATTGATGCTACACTGAATGCGGGGTTGAAAGGGATTATAATATCAAGGGTGAATCCTAGTTGTCTGGTTTGGGCAACAAGCGGTGGTGCAAATTAAAATGGTAAGGAAATTTGTAAATTTTAGGATTCCTTTTTATGAGAGGTAGGTGTTGGGGAAAGTGTCATTTAGATTTAACCTACTGAGCTTCAGGCATCCCTGAGGTATCCAAGTAGATATCCAGGGCCAATAACTGTGGGTATATGTGTCTGGATCCAGCAGGCAGGACTCAGCTGGGGGCGGAGATTTGGTGCCACAAGCAAAGATATTTGAAACCACTGGAGTGGATGTGAATTTGTGGAGGAAGACAACACATTCCCATCTGGATATGCTGACTTTGAAGTATCTCTGAGAAATCGAGATAAACTTTTGGATAAAATTTAGAGACATAACCAATGACATATCCTGTGAGAGAGGAGGTAGTAACTCAGCTAGGTGGGCACAGAAATGAACTTTGAGAGCAGTGATAATGAACATTTTGGGGAAAACGTGGACTTTTCATCTCTCTGACTAGTTGTGTAGGTTGTGGAGATTGAAAAGGAGAGGAGGCAGGGATAAATATAAGTTGGCACCAGTGCTGGGTGCCCACTGGTCGCACTTTGGCTGTTCTATGTGTGATTGTCACTTTTGCGTAAGCAAAACATTGCCTCAAAGGAGGAAATTATCTCATCAGATTTTTTAAAAATTCTCTCTTTCCTTCCTCCCCTCCCCTCTTTCTCTTCTCATTTTCCCTCTCTCCCTCCTTCCCCCTCTCCCCTTCCTCCTCCCCCCTTCCTTCTCCTCATTTCCCTTGGAGTTGCCTTTGGGGTCAGCAGACCCTGTTGGCATGATGCCAGGGCCGCCTGTTTCTGGCACATGGGGATGAAGAGTTGAGTAGAGGGGTACAGAGCACTGGCATGGCTGTGTTTGCATTCCAGCTTTGCATTCACTTGCTTGGGAAAGGCACTCATACACTCTGTTTTCTTACCTGTATGTAAAATAGTAATACTAATATTACTAATAAAAGAAGTGGTGGAGATCATTAAATGATATCAAGTGTGAAAAGCTTTATTACAGTTCTGAGTACATTGTAAATGCTCAGGAAATTGTACTTATTGACTATTAAATTTATTTTTCTTTTGAACCTCAGGCTTTTATAATTATTTCTTTAATTCACAAATACTTGATAAAGCGGCACAGAACAATAAAGAATTATTAAGAAACTGTGATAGTTGTTCAGGTGTCTAAAAAAAGAAGCATAAAATGACTTCTCTAATTTTAGACAAATGAACAACTAAACACCTAGTCAGAAAGATAAAATGTCCATGTTTTCCCCAAAAAGTATTTCCAAAATATTGTGTATGGGGATGCAAATATTATTTTTTTGTTTTAAATTGCTGTTTAAATTATTTTAATAAGTACTTTAAGCAAACATTTATTGTTTGGCTTTTTCCTATAAGACTGGTCTCTATCTTGCATTGTTAATATTATATTGATTTTAGAGTTAAATTATATTTCAAATTACTGTTACGCTAAGTATGACAAATTTTCCATTTAGGAAGAATAAAGTGTTTGGTAACCTTCAAGAAGTCAAGATTCTTGCTGAGTTTTTAAATGACGTTGTTAATATTTCACACATTGGTTTGACGTACCATCGGCGCTCTAACCAGCAGTGTTCCACATGCGAATACAGCATCCAGAGTCTCATGTTAAAATCACTTACATATCCAGAAAGGTAAGAAAATCAAATTTAAATTTAAATACATCATCTTTTAAACTTGAACGTATTGGCCTGCTAAAAAATGGTTTAAGAATTCATGTACTCAAATATCTGTTTATTGTGTATTTCAAATGATATTTTATTGGAATATCTAAAAGGTATAAAATGCATTTTGTTTTTTGGTTTGGCTGAGATTCATTTGGAATCATGTTACCCAAGCAAGGAAATACACACACAATTACTTTCTAAAACACAACAAAAATGAAAAAAGGAAGAGAAATGTCTGCCGTAGAAGTTTATCAATAATTTCTTATATATATATATTTACAGAGTGGTTTTGAGTCTTTTTATACAATCCTTTAGATGAGGTCCAATGGCTGAAAACTCTATAATGAGACATATGCTTACAGAAGATATATATAAATCATTACAATTTTCAATGATCTTTTCTTTCACCTAATTTACTACTCTTTTGTGAAGAGAAATGTTCATTTTTATCTGCTGCGTCTAAGATTCTCCAGATTACTGGAGATTCAACCCCAAGAATATACTGACAGGAGTGAGACTCTGGCATATGTACAATAACAGCTTGAGGAGGATCTGACTCTGTGATTTAATTTCATAGTCACCTGTCTTGGTTTGTCAGTAACATCACAAAAATCCCCATTCCAAAAACTGTGACACCATCATTATTGTGTAGGTGCCATTTTTAAAAAACAATAGATTCTGCCAGTATTTTTCTAAGCCCATTTAATATGCTGTTCTTGGTTTCGCATCCTCCCAGCCAAAGAGGTTTTCCCACTACCCTTGTCCACATGGTGTGGATGTACATGCTCACCATGGCAGAATCCATATTTCCACAAAAACACCCATGTGAAAGCACTAAGAACCGCCAAGAGGTCTTTAATGGGCTGAGCATCTCCCAGCTTTGAATATGTGAGGTGCTTTGTTGGTGGGAATCAACCGAGCGCCAACAGCGTGGGTTGTGGATTGCTAGAAATCTCTTGTCTTCAGTCAATTGTAGCACTTCATCTTTATTTCTCTTTATGTTTCTGTATTAACATATTTGATTTCCTAATTGCCTTTCTATGAATGTTGAAATTAGTAAATAAGAATTTTTGAAGAATAAAAATAATAAATAAATTCATTTAGTTGACATATCGATAGAGTTGGGAAAATTCTTTGAAGTGAAAGTTATTTTGTAACTTTTGGTATAAGAATATTTAGTAATTCAAAAGTCATTAAGTCAGATGGAAAAAATTTTACATTCCCTGTAGCTTACATCCCCTGTTTCTGGCATTTAGATGTAAAGGATTCATACTACCCAGGAATAAAGCCTTTTTCCTGTGTATCATTAATGGAAAGAGAAACGAAAGAGATACCTCCATAGTGTAGAAGAAGTATATAATGTAGAAGTATAAAGTATATAATAGGATAATTTTACTGTCCTTTTCCTTTGAGTGAAATACTTACAAAAATATGAGAATATATGGATATTCTTAGTTAAGAATATTAGCAACATCATTCCCTGACAAAGTATATTGCTGGGGTGTGTGTGTTATGGGGTTATGTTTGAAAGACTAAAGGTTTGAATGGCATTGGTCCACTTAACACATGGATAATTTTTAAAAAATAAATATATTGGAAAAGTTTTTGAAAATTTGTGACAATGTGAAAAAACTGCAGATGAATCACATATCCTAAAAATAAAATTAAAAAATTAAAATTTAGGTATGTCATGCATGCATAAAATATACATAAGTATTTTCCCCCTTATGATTTTCCTAATATTTTCTTTTTTCTAGCTTACTTTGTTGCAAGAATACAGTACATAATACATATATCATACATAATATGTGTTAATTGACTGCTTATGTTATCAGTAGTTAAGTTTTGGGAGAGTCAAAAGTTAAACACAGATCTTTGACTGCTCAGGGGATCTGCACTCCTGGAACCCCTGCATTGTTCAAGGAACAACTTTATTATTATTTTTTAATATATGTTACTGATTTCAGAGAGAGGAAGGGAGAGGGAGAGAGAGATAGAAACATCAGTGATGAGAGAGTCATTGATGGGCTGTCTTCTGCACGCCCCTGACTGGGGATGGAGCCCGCAACCTGGACATGTGCCCTGACCGGGAATCGTACCGCGATCTCTTGGATCAAAGGTCAACGCTCAACTGCTGAGCCACACCCAGCTGGGCAGAACAACTCTATTTTTATGGTCTTCACTAGCTAGATTTTAAAGAAGCCAGGGTTGTTGCATGATTATATTTTCCTGTTCTCCCCCATCAATACCTCTGTGAGCATAAGAAAGGTGACTAGGCCCAATATATGGTGATGGAAGATGGTTTGACTTGGGTTGTGGGCCCACAGTTCAATATACAGATCTTGTATCATACAAATGTACACATGAAGCCTATATGATCCTATCAACCATTGTCATCCCAATACATTTAATGATTTTTAAAAAGCCATAAATAAAGAGAGGTGAGTATGAACAGTGAAGTTAGAGGCTGTAGCTTACATCCCCTGTTTCTGGCATTTAGATGTAAAGGATTCATACTACCCAGGAACAAAGTCTTCTTCCTGTGTATCATTCATGGAAAGAGAAACAAAAGAGATACCTCCACAGTGTAGAAGTATATAATGTAAATTGTGGCCAGGCACCAGGAATTTAGCTAGAACCTTTGTACATAAACAGCACAGGAGCTTAAAGTGAGAAAGATAAATTTAGCTTTGTACATGTGAACAGTAAAAGGAACCAAGGATAATCCATCCTGTGTCTGTGGACGAATGCCAGGACTGGATAGTTTTCTCATTACTTAAATCTTTGTGGAATCATGCAGCTTAGTCCCTGAAATAGCTTCAAGGGTCACTATTCACAGATAACCATATGATCATAATGTGCTTGAAGCTTTGCAACATCATCAATCTGGTTATAAGCAATTTCCCCTTTGTAACCATAAGTCAATGGCTGCCATCTTCTGTGGGATATTCAGCTGAGTTATTGTTGGATACCTCATTTCCCCCAGTGTTTGCTTGACATAAGCCCTGGCTATGCATAGACAACGATCTGCACTTTGAAGTTTCCTTGTTTTATATTCACACATTGTATGTGGGAAACGTATTTATACGTTTTATGTTGACTGGTAGTAGAGCGCGCGATAAAAACTACCTGCAAACAATGTGTTCATAGGAGAAATATCAAGGAGAAGGGGCATTTTCAAATCTTCCACCTCACCTTATGATGTTCACTCCTTGATACAGAACGTTGGTGAGCCTCCAGACAGCCATTGCCTTCTCTGAGCATTTCTCTTCTTTAAGTGACTTATTATCAGGGAAAGGAAATGCAGACAGATGTGACCACTGTTATATTTGACTCATTGCCTTCTCAATCATGTTTTACATAAAGGAACGTTATATACAACTCACTTAGTAGGGTGAAATCATAGGGATAACCTAAGAGCAAAACGTAAGCATGCACGTAATTTTAATTTTTATGTGAAATCTAAATAGTGGATAGACTATGAAAATTTACTAAATTTACAAAATGTAGATACAATTGTTTTCTACCCAAGAGGAAAAAAACCTAAAATACCTTGTGGGTGTTAAACAAAACTCTTATCATTCCCTGCTGGCTGGAGATGCTAACAGATGCTTGGATGAAATGTATGCTTTAAGTTTAATTACCTACATAATTGTCATAACCATTCAGTTGCTTTTTCTGTTTAGATCTGTCCAAACAGATAAAGTGCAATTAATGAGAATCAGCACTGCCAAATTGTTGGGAACATGAGTTATAAAAATGTGATGCCTTATGGTATAGATTAAACCGTGTAAGCACTCAGCCAGTAATTCTCTCTGCAACCTATTGTGATAGACGGCAACCGAGTTCTCGGCTAGGTTTTTCCAGCAAGCAGGGCTTTCAAATTTAGGGACTAAGAAAGACATTCACAGTGGAGGTGACCTGGTATAAATTCCTGAGAAAAGTTGGACTAAAGCTACCTTTGGAAACTTAGCAGTAAAAAGTACTCCTTTAGGCATACAGTTCCATGAGTTTTGATAAATTCATAGTCATGAAACCCCCACCACAATCAAGATCCAGAACGCTTCCATCAGTCACAGGAACTGCCCTTCGCTGCTGCTTTATTTTCAGCCTCATTCCCCACTCCTACTCCCTGGCAGTTACTGTACCTGGTTTCACCCTTTCTCAAACAGTATATAAGTGGAATCATGAGTACGTAGCCTTTCAAGTACGGCTTTTTTCACTTAGCTTCATACATTTCAAATGTATCCATGTTGTTTCCTACATCAATGGAATGTTATGGGTGAATGATATATTCTATGTATGGATACACCAGAGTTCATTTATCCATTCACCAGTTGGAGGACATATGGTTTGTTCACAGTTTTTGATATCTGTCTCTGGATAAAGCCAACATAAATATTTGCATGCAGATTTTCATGTGAACGCAAGTTTTTATTCTGTTGGATAAATACCTATCAGTGAGATTGCTGGGTCATATTGAAACTGCCATAACTGCCAGACTGTTATTTTAAGTGATTGTACATTTTCATTTCCACTGGCATTTATCAGAATTCCACTGTACTCCTGCACCAAAAACTACACTTTCACCAGTTTTATTGTTTGTTTTGTTTTTATTTTTACTATTCTAATAGGTGTATTGAGGTCTCCTTGTGCTTTTAATTTGCATTTCTCTAACGACAAGTTATGGTGATGACCTCTGCCATTTTATTAAGGGTATTTACATGTTGTAATTTAATGTGATTATTAATGTGGTTGTGTTTAAATTTATCATCTTGCTATTTTGTTTTCGATTTTTCTCATCTGTTCTTTTTCTTTGTTTCCATTTTTCTCATCATCTGCCTTCTTTTGTATAAATTGAGAAGCCTTACACTTCCACTTTAGCTCCTTTGTAGGTTTATTATCTATCACTCTTTTTGAAAATTAGTTTAAAGGTTTTTCTTTGGATTTATATTATAATCTTTAATTTACTGCAGCCTACCTTCAGGTGAATTTTACCACTGTGCAACATATAACATAAAAACTCTACAGTAATATAATTCCATTTCTTTTATTCTAACTTTTGTTTTGTTGTTGGCATATATTTTCCTTGTATATATGCTAAAAATTTTATTGAAAAATGTATCATTTTTTAAAGAGTCAAGCTATTAAAGAGATTATAAATAATTAGGAAAATTCATATATTTACCCACTTAGTTACCATTTCTGGTGCAGTTCTTAAACCTTATGTAGATACATTTTTTTTCATTTGGTATAATTTATCTCTTGAGAAGGAGTTCCTTTAAGATGTTTTTGTTAGTGTGGTTGTGAATTTTGTCAGATTTTTGAACCTGAAAAAGCTTTCTGATGACTTCATTTTAAAAGATAATTTATCTGGTTATAGAATTCTAGTTTGACAGTTTTTGTTGTTGTTTTTTTTTTTTACTTTGACTACTTTAAAAATATTACTGTACTGTCTTCTATCATGCATTTATCCTGATGAGAAATCTGTCACTATCCTTTGTTCCTATGATGAAAATATGCCATTTTTCTTTGGGTAGTTTTAAGATTTTCTCATCACTGATATTAAATATTTTTATTGTGATGTGACGTAATTTTATTTATACCACTTGTGTTTGGAGTTTGTTGACCTTCTTGGGCCTGGTGAGCTTATAGATTTCATCAAATTTTATTAAAAAAAAAATCTCACTCTTTTTTGAAATATCTTTTTCTGTGTCCCTTCTTTCTCCTCTCCTTTTGGGGACTCCTATTTCAAGTTTCTTAGGCTGCTTGGAATTATCCCACAACTCACTGATGGTTTGTTAATTTTTTAATTTGATTTTCCTCTTTCATTTTATTTTGAATATATTTAGTTTTTATGTCTTTAAGATCATTATTCTTTTCTTCTATAATGCCTAATCAGATATGAATCTCATCCAGGGTACTTTTCATATTAGACATTGTAGTTTTCTTCTCTGGAAGTTTGAGTTGTTTTTTGTTTTTGTTTTTTAAATAACTCTTATGTCTCTCCTAAACTACTTGAATACATGGAATACAATTATAACAATTCTTTTAGTGCCCTTGACTGCCAATTCTTACATCTGTGCTAGCTCTAGATTGGTTTCAATTATTTGACCATCAAGTGGGTCCATTTCCCTGCTTTTTTGCATGCTTGGTAATTCTTGATTAGATGCCAGGCATTGTGCATTTTATCACATTGGGTGCTTTATAATTTTGTATTTCTATGAATACTCTTTAGGCTATTCTCAAGATGCTCTTAACTTACCTACAAACAAGTTGACTCTTTCAGGTCCCACTTTCAAGATTGATTAGGCAGGCCTGACGCAGTGCTCAGATTTATGTTTCCTATCCCCACTATTGACACACGACCTTTCTATGCATTTCATCAGCGACCTGTGAGTGATCGGTTTTTCCCAACTGGCATGCAGGGGCAGGCACCAGTGTTAGTGCTGGAAACTTTCTCCTAAGTAAAATTTTAAATGAATGTTAGATGCATAGATGTGCTGATATGTTGTACAAAAGCCATAGGAAGAATTTTCAAAGTATATTTCTTGTAAATAATGTATATTTCTTGTAAACTGGTTTAATATATACGGATTAAAACAAAATTAAACTAATTTTGTTTGAATTTAAGAGATATTTATTATCACTGAATTTTTTCCTATTATTTTATTGGTTTGTACTTTATCAATGTAATGTGTTTATTTCTGCTAACTTGTGGTAAACAAAACATTAAAATGCAATATTAATTTCTTTTTGAAATTAAAAGAAGCATAATATTCTTCTTCCCATGGTAGCTCAACATAAACCACAGATTTTCTTATAAATTATAGGTTTTTAAAAATCATTTTTATTGCCTGGGGAGAGAAACTGTTAATAACATAGAATAAATTATGTCAAAATTAGATTCATGACAGTAGGACTAGATTAGCTTTTCACCACATAAAAACAAACAAGCTTAATTTTCCTCATATGTATTGGTAAAATTTAACTTTGTAAGCACTATTAACCTGCCTAAACTGTTTTGTAATGCTTGTAGAGGCTTTGTACAGTGTGAAACACTTAATTAAAAATATGCATTTAGTAAATTACTAATTGAAGATATTTCAATGGTACCAGGGTTGAGAGCTTTTATATTACTGTAGAAAAGAAAAACATACTTACCCTAATATTATGTTATAAATATGTGAATAACAGAATTACTTAATAGCAGAATTACTAAACTTACTTATCTATTAGAAAGTTTAATGACACACTTGTCCTACTATGGCAAGTTAAAAAACAAGGTGGAGCCCTGGTCAGGTAGCACAGTTGGTTGGTATTTTGTGGTTTGATTTTTGGTCAGGGTACATACCTAGGTTTTGGGTTCAATTCCCAGTTGGGGTCCTTATGGGAGGCAACCGATTGCTGTTTCTTTCACAACGATGCTTCTCTCTCTCTCTCTCTCTCTCTCTCTCTTTCTCTCTCTCAAATCAATAGAAAAACATATCTTCAGGTGAGAAATTTAAAGAAAAGAAATGAGTTGGAGGGAGATCCAGAACACTGAAGGCACATTCAGAGAATAAGGAATGTGGCAGGATAAATAATTGATACAAGTAAAGATACATTTGGGTGGGAGAGTGGTAAAGTCATTTCTCTACTTATTTCTTAATAATGGAGAAAGGACAAGTCTGATTTTTCAATTACATTCTGATCTCTGATAATGTAATAAAAAGATATTTTTGCTAACATCTAAAAAATCTTATGAGCCTGGCCTGGCGTGGCTCAGTGGTTGAGCATCGACCTAGGATCCAGGCGATCAGGGTTCGATTCCCGGTCAGGGCACATGCCTGGGTTGTGCGCTGCAGGCGATCAATGACTCTCGCATCATTGATGTTTCTGTCTCTCTCTTCCTCTCCTTTCCTCTCTCTGAAATCAATAAAGATATATTTTAAAAATCAATAAATAAAAAATCTTATGAGGTTAGAGTACTATCATTTTACATTTACTGCTATACTATAAACATTAAAATTCTAACATACCTTTGTTATCTTAAATGCAAAGTACTGTAGTATTTTATATCAACTTTTGTAATTAAATATGAATGTCTATATTTTATCACTTTCAAATACATTAACAGAAATAGAAAATTGGCTTATTTTAAAATTGAATAATTTAACCTAAAAATTCTGTTGAATCTTTTAAAAACATATTCAGTGATGTCTTAACCAAGCTAGCAGAAGACGGGAGCAATGTCTTCTTCTTGAACTAGAAAAGTGCATATGACAAATAAAGGTGAACTACCAGCACCTGTGATGTTGAACTGCTCCTTTTTCCTTGACTAAGTTACTATTGCTGATACAGAAAATTTCTATTTATTGCTACCATTTTTTTCTTTAGTTCCTTTTCTGAACCTTTACTAATCTTATCTTATTCTAGTTAATTACCTTTTTGAAATTTTCAAGACATTAATAGGAAGATAACTAGATAAGATGCCTGATTTACCAGTTACTTGACTTTTCAGAAATCTTCAAATACTAACTACACAATATCTCCAAGATATACAATAATCTACACATTATTATTTCCATTTTAGTAGGTGGCAAAGAGAATTGATTAAATCATTTTGGCAACATTTGCCTATACAGTTCAGATCAACTCACCCATGTTGACTATCAGAGTCAGAAGAGGAGGCCTAGCCACTGAGTTAAGTTCAGGTTTCAATTATTTCAGTATCTAATAATATCTCCCATATATTGTAAATATTCCAATGAAACAACAAAGAGAGAAGTTGAAACACACAGAGTACTTTTTTTTTCTTTCACAAACACTGTGTCTACTTCATCCCATTATAGCCCAATAACAGAGTGGAAACCATCATCTAGGTTTGTTCCAACTCCCAGAATTTGGAGAACTAATTAGTTATAGACATAAAATATTCTGACATTGAGAAGAAAAGAAACTTTTTTGTTATACTAACAGTTATTTTTTCCTTTCCCCTTTTCTCTCTCACAGACCACCACTCTGCAAGCATGAGATTGTACTTAAAGAAAATGAGGAAATATGTCTCCATGTACATACCTGCTCAGCAGAGGAACTATAACATGCCTTCTTCCATCAACTGTAGCAACTCGTTTGTGAAGTAAAGAAGTTCTAGATGGGAACAGTGTAATCAGTATTTCTTTTAGAATGCATTGTTCAATCTGGGATTCAGAGATTTCTACTTCTTAAATAAATTTTTAAGAATAAAAAATAGAGAAAGTGTAAAATAGTCACATGGCAAAGCATTCTGAATACATTCTAAAAGCTGTTTATTTCGGTTACCTCAATCAACTGTTTCCCTTAATTACTTGTTATTAATTGATAATATGTCTTTAGGAAAAAAGAGAAGTTTTTTGCTTCAATACACCATCTAAACAGTCTCTATTTCTCAGACTGCAGTGGTAAAATAATGAATGTTTTTTATCGTAAATTTGTCACTTGGAGAAGTCATTTGGATTAATGCAAATCTTAAAATCATGAACACCTTCTGTTTAGTGATCTGTATAGCAGTTTTGTAATGCTTTGTAAATAAAGACTTTGTTTCTATGGAGCATAATAATCTATGGGTCCATAATGTTTAAAGTCAAATTTTGGGTCCAGTACTACTAATGGTGTTATCATGAGTAATTAAATTTACCTCACCATGTGTCAGTCACCTAAGAATTTTTTTGAAGATTGGTTCAGTGCTTTGACTAGTATCTGCTTCTAATGATAATAATAAAAATGATAGCTAACACATAAATCACTGTATTCTTATTCATGTAATTGTTACAAAAACCCTATGAGATTGGCCTTGATATCTCCACCGATGAAGAAACTGAGGCACAGAAATGTTAACTAACTTATGCAGGATCATAAACAAAACCAGAATTGCAATCTAACAAGTCTCGCTCTTGTATCCATGTGTTTAACCACTATAATATGTGATTCTCCACAATTCAGTACATCTTAGCTATATTTGCAAATATTTCATTCAAAATAAATAATAATCTAACTGTCCCTAATATTGTCCTCTTTACCTGTTCAGTCCAGGAATTCCTGGGCCTCAGGAATTAAAGTCTCTCTCACTTAAGTCTGAATGCGCCCAAGGTTTGTTTTATGTATGTTTATAAATCAACCTGTCAACTTAGTCTCTGTGCTTTTGAACTTCTCCTGTATTAGGAGGAATTGCTGGGGCTGCCTTAACAAAACATCACCGGCAGGGTGGCCTAAATGACATACATTTGTTTTCTCAAGTTCTGGAGGCTAGAAGTCTAAGATCAAGGTGTCAACAGGTTTGTTTTTTTCTAAGGCCTCTTTCCTTGAATTGCAGATAGCCACCTTCTTGCTGTGTTCTCTCATGGTCTTTCCTCTGTTCATGCTGTCTCTTTGGTGTTGCTAAATTCCCTCTTCTCATAAAATCACCAGTCAGACTGGAGTAGGTCCTACCCTAATGAGCTCATTTTAATTTAGTCACCTCTAAGGGTCCTATCTCCAAATACAGGTGCATTCCAAGGTACGGGGGGTGAGGGCTTTAGCATAGGAATTTTGGGGGGACACAGTTCAGACCATATTACCTTCATGACTCATTAGCTTCACAATGATAAGCGTTGCCTAATAAGCCATTTGAAAGTGACTTGGGGCCCTTGCTGGTGCCCGCCTGGAAAAGACTAATGTATGAAGACCTTGAGGAATCAGATGTGTGTTCCACCTGCGCAGAGACAAATGAAAGGTGCTTCTCGTTTTGCATAGCGATGTAAGCAGAGCTGCCTGCACCTTCCCTGGCTGACAGTCGGCTTTGAAAACAGCTGGTTCAGTTTTGGCTACAGCCCTTCACTCCACAGCCTCTGACTCCAGTCCTCAGGACACCTTCTCTCTTCCTTGTCACTTAGACATTTGCTCACAATTTCCCACATTCTTAAAACCACGAACCGTTACGATAATTTCACTTTTCCAACCCCCCCCCAATTAACTTAACAACTATCCCCAGAAATGTTTGAATCTCAGCCGGTTATATTAAAGACATTTAAAATTAAATAAAATGCACTATACATATGTTACCAGGACCAGAAATCCTGCTTCAGTCTTTCTGGTTGCTTCTGGCCCCTGGAAAACAAAGAAACAGTAGCCAACTTGTCTCCAAGCATATTAAGTGACCCCCTAACTCTCATAATAAAACTTCCTTGCCATGGGCGATATAGTCTTTCAAGGATAACTCAAAGACATAAACTTAGAAATGTTTTTATGTTTTCATATTACAATACGTTCTCCAGGATCTTAATTCCCTATTTATTTATTTATTTATTTATTTATTTATTTATTTATTTAAACTAAAGGTTAGTGAAGAAAGAAAGCCTTGGAGCTTATCTTGTCAGGGAAATAAACTCCTCTGGCACTCAAGTTTATAGTCTTCTATGAATATTTTAATCATATTTATTTTTTCCAAATTTGTGGAAATCAAAGATCAAAAATAGAAAAAGAAAAATATGTATTTTCAGGGGACCATAAGAAAGCACAGGTGTTCTCAGCAATTACCTGGTCAACAAAAGGACAAGTAGCTATTATGCACAGCATATGCTATACCAGGCTGCTTTGGAGACATGATGCTCAGGATCAGATACAGAGGAAGCAGAGATAGGAGGTATTTAAATTCTTTACCCTCCAGAATGTCTACCTGCCACAGGTCACAAAATAAGACTCAACACTATTTTTAAAACTTCCCTCAACAATGTAGTTTGAGAATCCTCAAGGTAAAGGGGTGGGTAAATGCTGTGCTCACTTCCTCGCATGACCACATTGAAATTACAGCTAAATTATAGCGCTGACACCGCAGAGGACCACCTGGAGGCTGGCTGGATAGAACTCCTACAACTGAGGATACAAAGAACAAGCTGTACTGAGGAGGAACTGAGAGGTGAAACAGGCTGGTCCCATATCCACCTGCAGTGAGAGAATCAGGAGGATATCTTGGCTGCACAGGTCTCCACTGAAGATGAAGGGTAGCAGTCCCAAACTGGGTTCCCTGGCCTGGAGCACCAGTGTGAGAAAGAGAAGTTCCCACAACAGCTGGCTGTGAAAATCAGCAGTCTCTATCCAAGTGAGACAGAGGGCTGCTGTGGACCCAGGCATCTAAAAACATTAGTGCTAAACTCCGGAGAAAGGGCAGCAGCTCAAAAAGCACCAGGGAGATAAAGAGAGGAAGAGAATTGTCTGGTTTCAGGGCAAGGGCTGGAGGGGAAGTTCTCTCTGAACTATAGTGCTGGCCAGTGCTATTCTTTCTTTGTTGACTCCTCCCCGGACACAGCTGGCAGATGCAGGTGAGCACCAAATCTGATTCTCCATTAACCTGGCTAAAACTGCTCTTGCCCCACCCTGGTGATACCTGACTTACTTGCCTGGTCTGAATCTTTTTCAGAGGCTAACCCATACAGGTGGCAGGCCTAGACCCACACTGCAGACTTTCCTAAAATCCCTCAAAGGTTAATAAACCCCAAACAATCAGTTTTGTAACTCTTGCCTTGTGGAACTAAGACTGGCACTAGTGGCGGCCAACCTCAGTCACCGCCAAGCCCAGCACAGGCAGCTACCAAACACAGTTCAGTTTATAGCTTTTACCAGATCGACACAAGCAGCAGCTAATCTTAACCTTCACCAGTGCCCTTCCCAAGGGGCCCCAGAACCAACATACCTGGTGGCCAGCTTCAGATCACAACAGAGCACTACCCAATCATCTCCACAAACAACACACCTAAAAGGTGGGCATGGCAGGCACCAGAAATCTGCTAAAGCAAATCCCACTCTGTGGGGTCATCTCACACACAATAGCATATCTGCAATAGTCACAACCAGTCCTCACTGCAAGCCAACCTAGGGGTCAGTCTCACCCGCTGATATGCCAACAGCAATCAAGGCTCAACTACAACAGGAAAGCACACAAAACCCACACAAGATACACCCCTGGAGCACCCAGTTCAGGTGATGAGGGAGAGTGAGACACTGGGTCACACAGGACACTATTATATAAAGCCACTCTGCCAAGACAGGGAGAGGTAGCAGATCTACCAGGAGCATAGGAACAAATATACAGGGAAGCAGTCAAAATGAGGAGGCAAAGAAACATGACCTAAATGAAAGAACAGAACAAACTCCAGAGACAGAACTAAACCAAACTGAGGCGAGGAATCTACTAGATGCAGAGCTCAAAACTTTGCATTATAAGGATGCTCAGTGAACTTAGGGGAACAATAGATAATCTCTGTGAGAACCTCAACAAAGAGGAAACATAAAAAGGAGAGAGAAATTATTAAAAAGAACCAGTCAGAAATTAAGAATACAATACTAATATGAAGAATACATTAGATGGAATCAATAGTAGATTAGATGAAACAAAGGATCAAGTCAGTCATTTGGAAGACAAGGTAGCAGAAAACACCCAACCAGAACTGTGGGGGGAAAAAAGAATTTTACAAAATGTGGATAGTTTAAAGGACCTCTTGGACAACATCAAGAATAATGACATTTCTATTATAGTGGTACCAGAAGGAAAAGAGAGAGAGCAAGACACTGAAAATCTATTTGAAGAAAAAATGGTTGACAACTTCCCTAACCCAGTGAAGGGAAAGACATACGAGTTCAGGAGGTGCAGAGAGTCACAAACAACATGAACCCAAAGAGGCACATACCAAGATACATCATAATTAAAAATGTCAAAGGGGCCCGGCTGGGCGTGGCTCAGCGGGTGAGCATCGACCTAGGATCCAGGTGATCAGGGTTCGGTTCCCGGTCAGGGCACATGCCCGGGTTGAGGGCTAGGCAGCCGATCAATGACTCTCTCATCATTGATGTTTCTCTCTCTCTCTCCCTCTCCCTTCCTCTCTCTGAAATCAATAAAGATACATTAAAAAAAAAAATGTCAAAGAGTAAAGACAAAGAGAGAATCTTAAAAGCAGCAAGAGAAAAGCAGTTAGTTAAGACTTCCTGCTGATTTCTCAGCAGAAATTTTTCAGGCCAGAGGAGATTGGTATGAAATATTTAAAATGCTGAAAAGCAAGAACCTACAACCAAGATTACTCTACACAGCAA